GCAGCCTGGACAGTAGTCAGGAGCTGTTCAACTACAGGCTGAGCAAGTGCAGAATGGTGGTAGAATGTGCATTTGGACAAATAAAAGCGCGCTGGCGCAGTTTACTGACTCGGTTAGACCTCAGCAAAACCAATATTCCCACTGTTATTACTGCTTGCTGTGCGCTCCACAATATCTGTGAGAGTAAGGGGGAGACGTTTATGGCGGGGTGAGAGGTGGAGGCAAATTGTCTGGCTGCTTGTAACGCACAGCCAGATACCAGGGTGGTTAGAAGAGCACAGGAGGGTGCGGTGCGCATCAGAGAAGCTTTGAAAACCAGTTTCATGACTGGCCAGGCTATGGTGTGAAAGTTCTGTTTGTTTCTCCTTGATGAAACCGTCTGCCCCTTGGTTCACTCTACTTCCCTGTAAGCTAACCACCCTCCCCTCCTCCCTTCGACCACCCCTTGCAGAGGCAATAAAGTCATTGTTGCTTCACATTTATGCATTCTTTATTAATTCATCACACAAATAGGGGGATAACTACCAAGGTAGCCCAGGAGGGGTGGTGGAGGAGAGAAGCACCAGGAGGGGTAGTGGAGGAGGGAAGGACAAGGCCACAAAGCACTTTAAAAGTTTCAAACTTTAAAACTTGTTGAATGCCAGCCTTCTGTTGTTTGGGCAATCCTCTGGGGTGGAGTGGCTCGGTGGCCGGAGGCCCCCCCACCACGTTCTTGGGCGTCTGGGTGAGGAGGCTATGGAACTTGGGGAGGAGGGTGGTTCGTAACACAGGGGCTGTAGCGGCGGTCTGTGCTCCTGCTGCCTTTCCTGCAGCTCAACCATACGCTGGAGCATATTAGTTTGATCCTCCAGCAGCCTCAGCATTGAATCCTGCCTCTTCTCACCATGCTGCCGCCACCTTTCAGCTTCAGCCCTCTCTTCAGCCCACCACTTACTCTCTTCAGCCCGCCACCTCTCCTCCCGGTCATTTTGTGCTTTCCTGCACTCTGACATTGTCTGCCTCCACGCATTCGTCTGTGCTCTGTCAGTGTGGGAAGACAGCATGAGCTCAGAGAACATTTCATCACGAGGGCATTTTTTTCGCCTTCTAATCTTCGCTAGCCTCTGGGAAGGAGAAGATCCTGTGATCCTTGAAACACATGCAACTGGTGGAGAAAAAAAAGGGACAGTGGTATTTAAAAAGACATTTATAGGACAATGGGTACACTCTTTCATGGTAAACCTTTCTGTTAACATTACATACATAGCACATGTGCTTTCGTTCCAAGATCGCATTTTGCCTCCCCCCAGCGCATAGTTAGCCCCTCCCCGCATCCTCTTCCCCGTGGCTAACAGCGGGGAACATTTCTGTTCAGCCACAGGCAAACAGCCCAGCAGGAACGGGCACCTCTGAGTGTCCCCTTAAGAAAAGCACCCTGGGAGGCACTGCGGCAGGGCAAGGGGAGGAGATGGCTAACAGTGGGTGTTAAGCACATGCTAATTTTTTTTTGTGGGTGCTCCAGCCCTGGAACACCCACGGAGTCAGCACCTATGACATAGAGAGCAATGAGAAGAGAAATAATCTAATGAACAAGCTCTCTCTAAAGGAGTGACAAAGTGTGATCTAATGCAATTCACTGTCCCACAATTAAACAAAACCAAGAAGAAAAATTTGGAAAAAAACTACTCACTACATCCATAAAAAACACAGACTTGCGTTCCGTTCTGTAAAATGTAATCTCTAACTTTTAGAGGAAATAAGTACATTAATGAAAAGGTGTAAAGTTGATATAGGCATAGTCACAAAAACTGAGAACTGAACATATGGAACAATGGTCCCTAAACCTCAGTAATCACAATTAAAGAGAACTATGTTAAACATCTTTATCCTCTTCTTAAAATTAAACAAATGTATGGTATTGGGATGGGAAAATGCTGCAGAGAATGTAATCAAATGGAAGGATTTCTGCATATTTAATAGACATGCCCCCAAAAATAAGACATTTGGGAAGACGTCTGGAGACATCATAGAGAGATAATGGTGTTGGCTGTTGGATAAGCTCTGAGTATTTTCATTAAGTTGTCCTAAAAGCTTTGTTTCTTATAAATGCCATAAAGAGTTGATCACTTATCTCCTAGTTGCTCCTAAAATTACTGTAGTAAGGTGGGTTAAGAGGAGCAACTCCCCTAAATCTATTACCTGCTATCCAAAAATGAGCGGAAATACCGGTATAGAAAAATTAACTCATTAAGGGTATGTCTACACTACGAAATTAGGTCGAATTTATAGAAGTCGTTTTTTTAGAAATCGGTTTTATATATTCGAGTGTGTGTGTCCCCACAGAAAATGCTCTAAGTGCATTAAGTGAATTAACTCGGCGGAGCGCTTCCACAGTACCGAGGCTAGAGTCGACTTCCGGAGTGTTGCACTGTGGGTAGCTATCCCACAGTTCCCGCAGCCTCCGCTGCCCATTGGAATTCTGGGTTGAGATCCCAATGCCTGATGGGGCTAAAACATTATCGCGGGTGGTTCTGGGTACATATCGTCAGGCCCCCGTTCCCTCCCTCCCTCCGTGAAAGCAAGGGCAGACAATCGTTTTGTGCCTTTTTTCTTGAGTTACCTGTGCAGACGCCATACCACGGCAAGCATGGAGCCCGCTCAGGTAACCGTCACCGTATGTCTCCCGGGTGCTGGCAGACACGGTACTGCATTGCTACACAGTAGCAGCAACCCATTGCCTTGTGGCAGCAGACGGTGCAATAGGACTGGTAGACGTCATCGTCATGTCCGAGGTGCTCCTGGCCACATCGGCCAGGAGCGCCTGGGCAGACATGGGCGCAGGGACTAAATTTGGAGTGACTTGATCAAGTCATTCTCTTTAGTCCTGCAGTCAGTCCTATTGAACCATCTTATGGTGAGCAGGCAGGTGATATGGATTGCTAGCAGTCGTATTGTACCATCTTTTGCCAGGCAGGCAAGAGTTGAGGATGGCTAGCAGTCGTATTGTACCATCTTCTGCCAGGCAGGCAAGAGATGAGGATGGCTAGCAGTCATATTGTACCATCTTCTGCCGAGAAGCCCTGAGATGTGGATGGCATGCAGTCCTTCTGCACAGTCTGCTGCCAGCCAAAGATGTAAAAGATAGATGGAGTGTATCAAAACAAGAAATAGACCAGATTTGTTTTGTACTCATTTGCTTCCCCCCTCTCCCCTCATCTAGGGGACTCATTCCTCTAGGTCACACTGCAGTCACTCACAGAGAAGGTGCAGCGAGGTAAATCTAGCCATGTATCAATCAGATGCCATACTAACCTCCTTGTTCCAATAAGAACAATAACTTAGGTGCACCATTTCTTATTGGAACCCTTCGTGAAGTCCTGCCTGAAATACTCCTTGATGTAAAGCCACCCCCTTTGTTGATTTTAGCTCCCTGAAGCCAACCCTGTAAGCCGTGTCCTCAGTCGCCCCTCCCGGCGTCAGAGCAACAGCAAACAATCGTGCATCTGAGTTGAGAGTGCTGTCCAGAGCGGTCACAGTGGAGCACTCTGGGATAGCTCCCGGAGGCCAGTACCATCAAATTGTGTCCACAGTACCCCAAATTCGACCCGGCAAGGCTGATTTAAGCACTAATCCACCTGTCAGGGGTGGAGTAAGGAAATCGATTTTAAGAGCCCTTTAAGTCGAAATAAAGGGCTTCATCATGTGGACGGGTGCAGGTTTACATCGATTTAACGCTGCTAAATTCAACCTAAAGTCCTAGTGTAGACCAGGGCTAAGTCAGAGTTTTATGAGAGAGAGAGGAAAAAATAACTACTTAGCAATCTGGTAGAACTTTTTGGAGTTCATTGGCAGAGTTTTGTTGGCTGTCACCATCCTAATAATTTGAGAACTTTTTTTTTATTAATGAGGGAGAAACCCCTTCAGCAGTAGTCAAAGTTAAACTAAAAAAATGAGATATCAAAATAAGGAAAATAGAAGAAGAGGAAGAAGGAATAAACCTTAATATTTAGTAGAGTTTTGATAGGAGAACTAAGAAACAGGTTACACATCTAAATGTAAGAAAAACAGTACTTTCAACCTAACCATGAGATCAAAGGCTTTAAAAGACAGATCAGGAAGACAAAGAGTAGAAAAGCATCAACTACAATATGTGATCAATATCATAAAGATGAAGAAAGTGATTGGTAGCAGGTTCTGTCAGTATAGCTTTACAGACTTTCACAGGCTATTTTATAACTGTGTATTTGTGTAAAATACTACACTTATCTCATTTAAGTTGTAAACCAAGTTTTATAGATTTTTATTATAAAATAATGGATCTGTTAATAGGTTTCGACAAAAGTTGTTAGTTTGCTCCTTTTGTAATCTGTGTGAAATTGGTTGATGGTCTCTGCATAATTGGGGATTTTTAAGAACAGGTTAGCCAAACCACCTGTCAGGGATGACCTAGTATATTAATTGTACCTCAGTGTGGGGAATGGACTAGATGACTTCTTGCTGTCCCGTTTAGCCCTACATTTCTGTGATTCTATAATCATTCCTTGCAGATAGCGGTTACATAAAAAAATAATAATAGTGTTTACATATCAATGTGCTGTTTATTAATTTGAACACTAAGGCCAAAAACTGAAAGTATGGAGACTGCCTGCTCATCTCTAAATATGGTCAAGTCAAAAAGAATTTGAGGATATTCTGATAACATTTATGCTCTCATATTGCTGTGCTTTTTTCTGTAGATATAAGACTTCAATTTCCATGGCTCTTACTCAGGCATCCTTCTCAAGCATTATGTTCACTACAAAATGCTTGGAACCCTAATTTGTGGAGGGAGGGAAAGGAGTGAAAGTGTGATTTCTACACTTTTAAATTATGATGAACTTCCTCAGACTTTAAGGAACCAACAGTTAATTAAAACTGAATGATTTGGAAACTAAGGATTTATTTGTGTCAAATGTATATTGTTTGATAAGATGATTATCTTTATTTTTTAAATAAAAAAAAAAACCTTGACATTTTTACAGATAAAAAACTCTGGTGGGCAGACCACAACTTAGCTCAGCTGGGTACATGCAACAAAAGAGATGGAAGAACCCCCATTGTCCTGCGAAACAAGACTTCAGGGGTTGTACATATGAAAGTGTATGATAAAGCAGCACAGCAAGGTAAATTGTATTTTAAATATCTTTAAACTACCATTAGAGTACATAATGTATTCATCTTCCATATTATTCCCAAAATGCATAGAGATTTATATTTGTTCCCATTCGTTATCTGATACACTGACTAAAAGTAGAGCTTCTATCCATAGTGTATTACAATGTAGTTAATAACTTTCAAAATATTAGGTAATAGTTTAGAAATCTTTCTTTAATGTGTATTCAAAATATTTGAATATGATGCATAATACAAATAGAAATTCCTATGGTACTGTGAAGCTTAAATTTGGTAATCAGAACTAAGACATAAATGTGAATATTTTCTTTTTCATTCACTTGTTAATGCTGTGTGTCTCTCAATAAATTATGAAAAAAATAAATATAAGAAATAATATTTGAAAAATCATTGATGTTTTTCATTCATCTCAATGGTTTTAAGCCAATGTAATTTATTTTACTTCATTGAAATTGCACTGATGTAAATTGGGAGTAAGTGACAAGAAAAATCAGGCAATTTTATTTTTGTTTGGTAGGAGAATGAATTAGTATGTTTCCCTATTATTATCATGAAAAAAATCTATAATCAAGGACATTGCAAATTGTGAGCTTGTTTTTAGACATATATACTATCCCACAAAGTAAACTATTTATAAAATAAACTCTGTGTGTGTGTGTGTGTGTGTGTGTGTGTGTGTGTGAGAGAGAGAGAGAGAGAGAGTGAGTCTGTGTTTCAGTTTCCTTTCTCTATTACATACACCTCAAGAGGTAAACTGCAAATCAGGATGCTATTGCTTCCAGTAGGATTCTAGGGAATGTGAAAGAGCCACTGCAGAGGCTTTTATTTCTGTTATTGAGTGTCCAGGGAGATTGAAGTGCTCTCCTACTGGTTTTTGAATGTTACTATTCTTGATGTCTGATTTGTGTCCATTTATTCTTTTGTGTAGAGACTGTCTGGTTTGGCCAATGTACATGGCAGAGAGCTCTGTATAACCTCAAAAACTTGTCTCTCTCACCAGCAGAAGTTGGTCCAATCAAACGTATTACCTCACCTACCTGCCTCTCTAATATTCTGGGAATGACACAGCTACAAACACACTGCATTCAGCTTTTAAGCATGTCTTTATGTTCCTAAAGACAGGTTGATTTTCTTTGTTTGGTAACTACTAAAACATGTCGATCTGCAACTAAATATAGTCATTATAGTAAATTGGTGGTATTTTTTGCCAACCAGAAGGATACACAATATCTATATAAATTTATTTCAGCAATTATTTAGTTTAACTGTACTGGATAGAAAAGAAAAAAAAAAGTTTAGCCAAACATGTTTTGTATTTAAATCTAACTGATTTATTCAACAAAGGAAGTATTATCTATAGTTAGTGAATTGAATGAATAGTGTCTGCTCACTATGTTCTTCAAGACTTTAGAACTAGTATATCTTATCCTCTCATACCTAGTTTCATAGATTGGAAGAGAAAAACAAGTGTTTCTTCTTTTTCAATGTCCAATTGGTTTATAAACTTTGAGTGAACTAATCATTGAACTGAACTAGTTGAATAAACTGGAATGAAGATAATATTCTCTCTGTACCTGCAAAAGAGGCTACTCCTGTCAAAAGCTGGTTGGTTTCAGATCCTTAGCAAGTGACTTCCACCCATCATTGGTGGTTTGAGTTTCTTTAAAACTGGACAACAAACATAATTCTTAATGTTGTTTGGAGTTTTATTATTGTTTGAATGTTTATGCCACGGAGGTTCTGGAAGTCACTGAATCTCTGCTTCAGCCCCTGGGGCTGTGGGACGCTGGAGCTGGCAGCCAGTGGGGCCCTGACTTTAGGAAATTTTCTCTTTGGGAAATGAAGTCACCTTCCAGCTGCCGTAGGCAGAGCAGGAACCCCACAGCTCCCAGCCACCACTTCTGCAGCAGCAAAAGTTACCTGCTTCGGTAAATTTTTATTTATTGCCCGTGACCTGTCCATGACTTTTACTAAAAATAACTATGAGAAAATCTTAGCCTTAATTATTATTATTATTTAATTTTAATTCTTTTAATTGACTACAATAAGCTTAGGCCTTAACTTAGGTTGTCAATTTCAAATTTAATTTTAAATATTTTTTTAAAATGCAACCCTGCATTTAATATTTTTTTAATTCTGTTGTAAATAAAAAATATTTTAATTTAAAAATGTTGATTATTATCCAGCCTGCTGAAATTTAATCATTCAGCCTCCTCAGGCAGACCATCAGAACATATCCATCATCTCAACTAGGTAAATCTATCTCAGAGTTTAAGTGGGTTCAAAATGAAGGTGACAAGTTAAAAGAAGTCAGAATATTCAATCAAACCCCATAATATGAGTTGAGATGAAGAAATTAACTATGTTGTTATATTAAATTTTCTTTAGAGATATTTGATGTATACTTTTTTATGGTACTTTACAATCCTCAGAGGGATCTTTTACACTTTGTATCATTGCCTAACATGCTGTGAATAGCATCACATGGCCCAACATAATAAAAGTGCTATAATAATTAGATATTTAATGAACTGGGAGAGTTCATAAATTATTGAAATTCAAATAATCAGTTTTAATTAGTAAAGTGAGCCTGGAATAATCTGTGGGATATCTCTGTGGAATATATGTCTATGATTATCTAGGTAATACTTGTCACTGTTGCTACACATAGATAATGAGAATTAATATGCTAGATAAATAGATAAATCTTAAAGGTACAAGTTTAATGTTGTGTTTGGGGAATTATGTGCACAGTTCTACAAACAGGAAAATGTATAAGTGCTTTTTTAACAGTAAATTTATTTTAAAAATGCCTTTTATTTAGTGACATGGTACTGAGGTTTTAGCACTCACTCATGGAGTGCTAAGCTTGAACTTGACATGTTTCCAGTTTCATCATGTTCTCTTAGTTTAAAATAGACAAGCTCAGTCAGGTCTATTTTAGTTTAAAGAGATTTGTAAAATATTCTAAACATAAAACATAATGTTATGCTGAGGTTTTCATGCTTTTCAGCATGTGTGTGTTTTCAATTTCAAATAAATCAGGTGAATAATATGCTATGAATTGTTAATCAATTGGTATTAAAATACTAATACTAAGCAACAGAACAGCTTAAACTTCAGTAGGCTCCACAGAGTTGTAACCATCCATTTCCCCCCTTTTTTTCCATGGTGCAGGTAGCAATTCCTGTCAACTAAACAATGGTGGGTGTTCCCAGCTTTGCTTACCAACATCAGAAACTACCAGAACATGCATGTGTACAGTGGGTTATAACCTCCGAAAAAATCGTATGTCATGTCAAGGTATTGAGCTTTTCAGTTCTTTCTTTTGCTAAACAAATGTTGTGACAACATTGAGACAGAAGAAGAGTCCTTATTTGTTTTTTTTTAAACCTAAATGAACAATTTTACTGAGAAAAGCATGGCTAGATTATGGCAGAAGAAAGGAGGTTCCACTTTAGCTAAGGATTAATTGCACCTTTGATTCTAATTTCCATATTTCTGTTCCTCATAACTTTTTCAGATTTATTTTGGGGAAAAAAAGTAATGCTATGAAACTTGTATATGTCCCCTTCTTTTAGATACACAGATGAGCAGGAACATTTTGAAGGACAGGACCATCATTCTGTAGCTCTTTATTGGTTCACATCTGCTAGATCTGTTTTTACAAACCATGCGGGTGTACAAACTTTTCAGTAGGGGTCTCTACTACAACAGGATATGAAGAGGCTAACTTTACCATCTTGGAACCTGAAGGGTAAACTTATAAGAAATGGCTGCTGATAGGAGCTACTGCAGTTACTTTTATCCTAAATTCCAGTAAAGATTTTGCCTCCAGAATGGATTATAGAAGTTAAAGGACCTTTTCCCATTTGTTGAAGTTTTTAAATTGAATATTTGGGAAGGTTCCCCGAAATTTTTGGACTTTTGTTTTACGCAAGAAAAGCATTATGGTTCTCAATAGGTATAACATTTAGTGTGGAACTTTGGTTCCTCAAGAGGCCTCCAGGCTCAGGACTTCTAATTCTACATCCAGGGGAAAAAATATAATTTTGTTGGAAGTTGGTAATGACCCCTATATTTACACTGCCTAACACTTTCCATTATAAAAGATTCTTATGACCCTTTTTGAGAAACTTTAAGATTTCCATTGTTTGGAATAGACCTTTGGAATTCAACACAGGATAAGACATCTGACCAGAGAATTACCTTTCCTTTGACCCTGGAAATTCCATTCATGTTTTGCTGAGATATACACTGTTGAAAATCTCTTATTTGCTTGTGTTCCCCAGGAAGATTTTGTCAGCAGACCAAAATGACGGAACATGGACATTCTAAGGACAGACTCACATTGCTGCTACTGTGTATATACATTATGATAGTCTTTAAAAACATGATTACATACTATTTTTTCTAGAAGATTCCTGTTTCATTCAATGCACAGGATAGACACACAAGATGGCAGACTTAAGCAACCTTAAATCTGGCATTTCCTAACTTTTGAATGCTTGGCTTTTAAAACTAAATAAAATTATTTTAATATGGTGGGGTTTTTTTTTTTTGTTTTCTTTTTAAATGTAATTTTAATTTGCTTTTACAGGCAATTGTAACTTTTGAATCCATGGCAGTGGTTTCCCTGAAGTAGTTGTCACTAGATGTTCCCTTTCTGCTAGTTATGACTTGAGCTATAAGAATGAATGAACGAGGGGATTGATCTATTAAAAAACGTATTTTCTTCATTTGTAACCAAATTAAATATTTCCTAAATCATCTCAACAGTTATTTTGCAAGACTAAATCTGCCTTTAATTTCAATCAGTTCATATCTATGAAAAGACGTGTATTCAGAATAACTTCAGTCTCCAGATGTTCAAAGAAAACAGAACTAGAAAAATAAATATTATCTTTCGACTCTTTAGGAAGGTAGTAGTACTTTACAGAGTTCGCATACCAAAAAAGAAATGTCAGCATGCAAAATCTCCATGTCTCAATGGATTCATTTGCTACAATTTGCTTATACTAACCCAAAACACAATAGAGATGTCAGGTGATGCTGTGGTATGTGAATTTCCTATCCACATCTTGAATTTAATTCAAGGAAATCTGTACAGCAGTCTTTTCTTTTAGAGTCTTGCAAGCACCATATTTATTTTTAAACTGTAACAATGTCTTTTCAGTATTACATGATTACTCCCATGCTTTTTTGGCAATGGTCAAAGCTTTACCTACTTTCTGCTTTCCAATGTAATAAGAATGAATATATATAATTCACAACGTATATGAAACTGATGGATGTTTTCCTGCTATGAGTTTGTATAGTACTTAGTACAATGGGATCCAAATCCTGGCTGGGACCCGTGAATGCCACTACAATAGAAATCAATTAATTATGATCAATATTATCATCTTAAATCTAGTAATTCTCAGTGTGATGAGACAGTCACAGAAAGCATGGAGACCCAAAGAGTTGGTTGATGAAAGGATTAAATGGGTAATGTGTGTTCTTTTTCAAGTGTCTGCTACATATTTCCACTTGTGGGATACCATGTCACTGATATCCAGCTATATCATTTAAAATTATTCATTTTTCTAGGAAGCAGCATCCATGGGGCTCTTATACTCTTTCTGCCCTCCTGTCTGTGAAGCATTCTGAGTGTATAAAAGGGGGAGGGGCCCAAACTACTTCTGTTTCGTTTTAACTGCTGAAGGTGCAGCAAGTTCGAATATTACGCAATGTCCTCAGTGCTTTTCTCATCAGCTTTTTCTTGGATTCTGCCTTTGTGGGGTTTTTTCTTTATAGCTAGTTAGGTAAACAGTGTTGGTACAGGTTTCTTCAGTTTGAAGACTATATAGTACCCAACGGGCACATACAACACCTGAACAACCTGTAGGAAAGGGAGGGTAACCCCATTCACTGTTGCTGATAGTGGGAGGTCTTCAACTAAGTCTGGCAATGTGTAAGTTCAGCATAGACTTTGGACATCTGTTAGTCTCAAGTGGCTCTGTGCTTGGCTTCAGCAACATCCATCTCCCTGATCTTACCTGGTGTTCAGATTCCCTCCGAGATCTTTTCCACTTGAATTATCTAGAACACCTTGTCCAGTTCTGGGAGAACACTTAAGCCAGTTCTCTGGAATCCAAAAAACTCTGTTAAACTTCAGCTCATCATTCAGGTTACTTTATTGTACTTGGTCACCGCATGTAACAGCTCTTTGTCTATGCTGGCCAGACCTAGATGCAGGAAGTTAAGATGCAAGATACCAGAATTCCAGTTCATGTCACACACTGCACAGTTTATAGACATGTTTACTAACTACAAACATTTATACTTTTTGTATGTAAAGACCAATTGCTTTGCAGATTGCATAAGGCAATCTTATTAGTTGAGGTGTTTTGCCTACTTTGTTTACTATAAACATACCCACAATAGTTAGTTGTTTCAATAACTACTTGTTTGGGTTTGTTCAGCAATTACTGGTTCAGGCATGTCTTGTCTTAACTTGGGCCTCCTCATATCAGCTAAGCCAGCCCTATATTGCACTCCTTTTCATTTTCTCTTATGTTAGCATTTGTTCCATTTGCATAATATTTCTCTCTTTTTGTGCTTGCTTTTTCAATTTTATTATCCAGCAACACATTCCTATGACCACACCAAGCATTATTATTTGAACTCCCATTAAGACTAAACTTAAAGTATGTACCAGGAGGTGCAAGCTCTCCTCCTTTGGTATGGCCCACCAGAGTGTTTCCACAGCCTGTACAGTATTGTCCCCAATTTGTTGTTGCTCAGCTATCTGGTGGGTAATGGGCACCAATTGCTTCATATTTCTCTTTACTAAATCGGTTATGTTAATGGACATGGGCAGTATAGGTACAAAGAGATTAGTCACTGAGTCCCATTCAGTGTTGTCCATCACTTCCTCTATCACATTCTTCTCAATCCATTCACTTAGCCATAAAGCATGAGTCCCAATCTGAGTCAAAAAGGTGAGGTTTAAACAAAACCCATCTAGGTTGCTCTGGCATGTCATTGTCCCAACTGAAAAGTGATGGTATCCCAATGCACACAAGATATCACCAAGCCTTTCCATCTCTTTCACTTCTCCTTTGTGATTAGTTGGTCCCATGCATTCACAGAATCATCTATGCCACGTTCTTTGACAAAATGCAGTGTTTATCTCAACACTATCATTTTTTGCCAACTCAACACTAGGATAATGTTGTCTATATGTTCCATTCTCAATAATACCCATACTGTTACCATACACTAATTCTGTAGGACTCCCTGTCCATCTAGGAATAACAGTTATAATTTGCACAGTTGAATTATTAATTTTATGTGGTACCCAATGTCCTAGCCTTGCAATGTACAAATTTTCCTCCCAAACATTCTTAATTCCCTTTTCCACAGACAAGTGTGCTGTTTAACAGTCTGCCCCCCCCCCGCTTTATTCCCTGCATTAGATGCATAAAGAGTTTGGTACCATACATGCTGTAACGAGTTGCTTTTGTAGCTAATGAGTTTAGTTTATTGTTCATTTATTGTATGGTTATGATTAACTAACATGTTATGTCATATATAATCATTGAATGTTAAATAGAGTTAAGTTGTAGGATTGTAGAAGTATAAGATTGATCAGTAGTTAGAAGGGATAATTTAAGTAAGTAGGGCTTAAATACCAGGTATTCTTTCACTTGGATATATCAAAAATATTCAACTAATTTGAAGACATTGTAGGCCTTCTGTCTTTTTGTGTAGAATGTACAGAGCTGTTGCTTGAAGCTCTGTAGGTACATATATGCAAAAGGACCCCAAAAATCAAAACCAGAAGTCTTTAATTGAGGTCTAATATGGAGACTGAAATTGTGGTAATTTCCAGTACTCTTTTGGACTGTCATCCAGAGCTAATCCAGTGTTTGTTCACCTAGAATTCCTCAGCCCACCTTCCTAAAGCATTGTTTGCTTGGCAATCTCCCAGAAGTGAGAATATGCAAAGACCACTCAAAGAAGAAGAACAACAGTTATGGGTGAATGTTGCCCCTTCATATTTACACTTCCCCACTCATCTCCCCCATTTTTTTGGAGTCTCAGTGAATGATTTCCAAGGTTAGGGAAGGAACTGAAGGGCGGTTGGGGCCTCTCCCTTTGTATACCATCAGAATCCTCCATGGGGGAGGGGACAGTTGGTCCCAGTGTGGACGCTGCTTGATAGAACATTTCTACAGCTTGAAGCAGGGGGTGTGCTATGCCCACAAGTGGGATTATGCAGAGGTGACACTCTTGAAGGACAACAGTTACTGGTAGGTAACTTCTCTGTATTAAAAATAATTACATTCCAAAGAGAAATTTGAAAATAAAATCCAGCTACACAGTGTGCTCTGCAGGGTTGGATGAGATTCACAATAAAATGAGAGTTGGAAACACTATGTCATGGATGTTGAGAGAGTTTGACATTTGTATTTGTATAGGACTAAGACTTTTAGGAAGTAAGAAACTTTTTGTAGCCTATGGGAATTGGGAAATACTATTTACACATTGTGCCTTAGTGGATTGGCTTGTGGACTGAGGCATGGTATACCATAGCTAGGTGTTAGTTCCTCAGAGCTTTAGAGCTCAATATACAAGGGTAAGGTTGCATTGATAGCAAATTTGTCAATGTTTCCCTCTTAGAAATCTGCATAGAAAACTCCCACTTAAATTCTGTACACACATTTACTCATCAGTACCCTTTCCACTTGCAATCTAATTCAGTTCTTCACTTTGGGATGGTGGTTCTGTAATCCCTATTTAATTGGAACTCCTCAACTGATGTACCCAGGGTCAGACTGCTAGCAAATCCCCTACAAGTGGGACTATGCAGACGTGATATCTGTGGTTCTTCAGGAGTGTTGTCTGTGTATATTCACACACACTGACTGCACTTTCTCCCTTTCTTAGAATTTTTTGTTCTAGGACTCTTGGGTTTAGCAGAAAAAAAATGAGCTGGTTGGGGTCAGAAGGCCCTTTTTATAACTGGCTCCAAATGTATAGTGTCTTAAGAGTATCTCTTTCCAGAAGGTTCTTGAAGCTTGGTGGTGGGAAGCATAATCTACAAGTGTTAATATGAAGTGACAACACTCTTGAATTAGGCATGACTTTTTAACTTAATTGTGTGTTAATGCTGTGGGGGGAGGGGTTGCATGCAAAATATCAATTTTTTTGAAAGTAAAAGATGAAGCTTGAATTGGAGAAGAGTTCTTTTTAAACTATTTTATTCAGAAATATCAAAAACAGCACAGTCCAATATTTCTAGTGGTTAAAGAGCAACAACCTGAATTAATATTTCCAGATTTTCTTTAATAATTTCTTTAAATAGCTGCCCAGTATGTTGCACTACAAAATATTAATTCATTAAAATTTGTTCATTTGAATGTTAACCTATGGTTGCAGTATTTTGCTCTTATTAACTATTTAATTTTCCCTTAGGTATTGAGTCATTTCTCATGTATTCTGTTCATGAAGGAATTAGAGGAATTCCTCTTGATCCAAATGACAAAACGGATGCTTTAATGCCCATATCTGGAACTTCGTTTGCTGTGGGTATAGATTTCTATGGAGGTAAATAAAATATTATGTAGATGTATTTTATATTTAAATTAAAAGACTATTTTTTTCAAAACTGCTAAGTAACTACAACTGCATTTTAAGCCAATGGGAGCTACCAGTGCTTGACCCCACCTAAAAACCGATCCTTAAATACATAACTGACCAGAGTACTCAGTGAAAAATATTAAAATGTCATTTTTAAACTGTAATTGATAGTGGAAGTAAGTAATAAACTGTATCCCACTCTTATTTTTGAACATTTTACAATGAGGAGGGAGAAAAATTGTTCTCCTTAACTTCTGAGGCTAGGACAAGAAGCAATGGGCTTTAATTGCAGCAAGAGCATTTTAGGTTGAACATTAGAAAACACTTCCTAACTGCCAGGGTAGTTAAGCATGGGAATAAATTGCCTAGGGAGGTTGTGGAATCTCCATCATTGGGGATTTTTAAGAGCAGGTTGGACAAACACTTGTCAAGGTTGGTCTAGATAATACTTAGTCCTGCCTTGAGTCCATGGGACTGGACTAGGTGACCTCTCAAGGTGCATTCCAGTCCCAGTATTCTATGATTCTATGAACATGTGACTTTATATATAATTAATAAATACAAGTAATTAATACACGTTTAGTGTGGAAGGGGGAAATCAAAAACATTTCTGAGAAGGGTATCAAACTGAATTTAGGGGTGAATTCAAGTATTACTGTGGTTTGCACATGTGATCTGATATTTCATGTTTTACAGGCAGTTATGATGCACACACAATGCATAGGGACAGATTTTCTTCCCCACGCTGCTTCTTTGTGCCACTGAGTGGAGACTGTAGAGACTGGTCAAATTCTCTTATCTGGGAATCCTACATACTTTGGGGAGTCTTTAGCATTCAGAGAGCCAGTTTAGCAGGCTCCTGGGTGCTGTGGAAGGTTGCTGGTGCTGGTGTGAGGGATGTATTATAGGAGTGCCAGGAAGACCTGGTAGAGGAATATGAGAATCAATTTATTCCTCTACATAGCCTCATCCTCACCTGATGAGGAGTCCATCAAATATGTCTACTATAGACAACTTCAGGGCCTTCCAGGATCTTCTCCAAAGGATGGCAGAATCCCCCTGGAGAGAGTTCAGGAGAGATCACACAAATTGTTTTACATTTTGCACCTGACTTCCCAAAGTTGTTTGGCCATGCCAATTAATAAAGCTATTCTTGAACCTTGTAGGGTCCTGTGGCAGATTCCTGCATCTTTATTAGCCACATCTAGAAGGGCAGATCACAGTTATCAAGTTCCCCCTAAGAGGTTGGGGTGGTTTTTTCATACCATGTACCTCTGACATTGTTTATAACAGCAGCACACAAGAAGTCTAAGTTGCCTGGAACACCTAAGTCTATCATGAGAGAGAAAGAACCCTTTACTCTCGGAAAGACTGTATAGTGACATTTCAACCTCTGGGTCTCTATACAACAGTACAGAAGAGAAAGCAAAACAGATTTCATTTGTTTCCTTTATAGAGTCCCCCTTCTTCTTCTAATTAATACCAACAAAGAGCTCCTGATTTCTGCAGCAAATGGTGGTCAGTGGCCTGGGCTGGAGCAGCAGCCAGGCCTTGGTCCAGGTCTGGAGCAGAAATATGTATTTTTAGATGAATATTTAGGGGACCTCTGCCCCTGCTTGCCACCTTCCTGTGCACACCACTGCTTATTACCATTCAAACATGTGAGGCTTTCAGTTAGCACTATTAGAGTACATCTGGCAGCTATACTGGTGTGTCACCTACCTGCTGATGGTCATTGAATTTCTTTTCTTACCCTACTATTTCTTGGTTTTTAAAGGGCCTAATTTGTGTGTTTCTGATCATTAAGGAGCCTTTCCCTACCTGAAACTTAAACATGGTACTTACATGTGACATGGACCCTCCCGTTGAGCCCATGTCGTCATGTTTTCAATATCACCTTTCTATTAAAACTAGTGTTTTTAGTTGCCATTACCTCAGTTTATAGGATGGGTGAAATTGAAACTTTTATGGCTGCACTGCCTTATTCAATATTTCATCGGGAGAGAGGAACTTTCAGACATCTGAAATTCCTACTGAAAATTTAGATCCCCAGACCCACTCTCCTTCCCCACTGATATGGAATCCTCACCCAAATTTCTATATTGGTGAAGGAGCTGAATGGCAGTGAGGCCTTTCTGCATTTTATACCCTCACTGTTGGTGATGCAAGAGTATGCAGGGTACATGCACAGCCCCAATGGACTCTGCTGTATGAAAGATTCCAGGCTCCCATGAATGAAACATAAATATGTACAGAGGGATCTGTCTGGACAAAGGTTTCTCAAAGAGCTCCAATTACTCTGAAGTAAGTAACCTCTCTTCAGGTGTTCAGGAGGAGCAGTTTCAAAGCTGCCCAGGAAAAGAAGAGACCAAGCAAGAGACCCAGCACATCTGAGCCAAGGGCAGTCCTGAAACACTGAGATGCTCTGTGCTTGGCAAAACTACAGAGAGTACCACCACATCTTTCATTTTCCAGTCTAATCTCTTGTAGCCCATAAAGGAGATTAAATAGAATGTACTACATGGCACTGAGGCACTGGTAGTTTCTCTCAGAATAAAACTTGTTTGCAAGTCCTCAATGGGACAAAAATCTTTGAAAGCTAGGGAGATGTATAGCATTTCTCATAGGCAGCTGAGATCCGAGAGTGAAAATCAAGCGAATATGGTATTTTTAGTGGGAAAAGAAGTGGGTTATTTTTTCTTGACAAATTCATTGGCAAGTAAAATTTCTCCATGAATTATCATTGCTTTTAATAAAATTGACAGCAGATAATATGAATTTGTGGTTAATGCAGCCAACCCCAAATAACTAAACAATGTAAAGAAAATATGTAAGATGTAGTAAATTTTCAATCATTGATAAATTTAGGCTTATATATAGGAGAAGGCATCCCTTTGTAGTCTCCTGAGGTTCCAGAGGCCAGGGAGGATCTTCCCTATTGTGAGCAGGTCTAGATGTGGAGTTGGAAAATGTACATTTGGGGCTGTTGTCATGCATACATGTAGGGCTGTTAATCGTCTCCTGCTATTCAGGACTGTGACTTTTGGTAATGTGCAGGACACAGTGAGTGGATTTGCAGCAACGGGGTTCCCAAAGTGTAGTGGGATGATAAATGGCACACATCCCTATTTTGGTATGAACCCATCTTGCCAACAGAAAGGGCTATTTTTCAATGTTTATGCAAGTGTTGGTTCTCTGGTATCACTGTGGGCTGATCAGGGCAGGTTCATGATGTTCACATCTTTAAGAACACAGGACTGTTCAGAAAGCTACAAGCAGGGACATTCTCTCTTGACCCATAGATTATCATTCACTGTGATACTGAAATGCCAGTAGTGATTCTGGGCCACCCAGCCTACCCCTTGTTCCCCTGGATCATGAAGCCATTTACCAGCCACCTTGACAGCACAAAGGAAAGATTCAGCTACCGTTCAGTAGGTGCAGAATAACTGTTGAATGTGCTTTTGGCAAATTGAAGGGACGCTAGCGGTGTTTACGCACTAGATTAGAGCTCAGTGAGAAAAATATCCCACTGATTATAGCTGCCTGTTGCATCCTGCATAATATCTGTGAAGCAGAGAGAGAGAAGAACTCCTGCCAGGGTGGAGGGTGGAGGTTTAGCAGCTATTTGCTGACTTTGAACAGTTCAAGACAAGAACTCAGTGTGATGCTATGTGGTTAAGGGAGCATTTAAAAGAGCTCTGTAATGGAAATCCATAGTGGTGTTCTGGTCTGGACTGTTCTTTGTGCCTGGAGGTTTGGGTGCTGCTAGAATTGTGTAGTGCTGCCTGTATTTTTATAAGTGTGTTTTCCTGAACCAATGAGTTATTTAGTGCTTGCTGTACATTTATAAATACTGTCAGATTTGAGTACTGCTGTGTATTCTGCAGTATGAGTTGTGAACTAATAAAGAAAATTTTATTCTCCAAAACCAGAAACTTATTGAGTGGCAAAAGCAGCATGCAAAAAGCCATAGCCAATGCAGTAGAAACTTTTAATAAATTAATGGAATAAAATGTTCCACTGGAAAGGCAGCGAACAAATGCTTCTGTCCATTTGAGTCTACAAATATAGTGTCTTGTGGCTTATACACATGTCAACCATGGTTCTCACCAGATAGGGTATGTGAAACTGGTTTTCTTGTTGTCCTCTGGTGTGGAATGGTGCGGGGCACATGTGTCATGGTGGAGGGTGCAGAGAGCTGCTACCATGGAATACTGAGAGGACTCTGAGATTTTTACAACTATAGGTCATCCAGGATCTGCAGCATTTGGGTTTCTTTCCTGAGAAGATTTATTATGTCCTGGGGCATTTCTGTCTCCTTTTCCTGCTGGGACTCCTGGCACTTTTTCCTGTTTGCTCTTTCCTTCTCCACGCTGTCATGTTGGCCCTTTGTTCTCGGTGTGATGCAGCACTGGCTTGCAGGGTCTTGCTGAACATGTCTTCCCTAGTCCCTCTTCTTTCTCCTCCTCATCAGCATCAGGCATTCTGTGGATGTGGAGCAGGTATCCTGCAAGGACACTGATGAAAACAGACAGATGAAACCTTAGATTTACCATTACAATAGAAAGGGAAAGATAAGTTTCAAAATTCCCTTTCCTTCATGCCATAAATCCTTTGAATAAAATGTGCTTATCGACGTGTGAGCTTTGGAGTGCCTACCCTGACTCAGGAGAGTTAGAGGTATGTGGGATTCAGCAGTTAGATCCAATCACAACAGACTGGGTTCTGTCTGTGGAGCGTGGCTGGACCAAGTCATGACAGTATTCTTGCTGAAGCATCTGGTACAGGCCACTACTAGAGAGAGCATACTGTACTAGATAGACCACTGGGTTGATCCATTACAGGAATTCCTATGGTCCTATGTATTTCCAGTTCAGTTTGAATGATTTCAATAGTGTTTTTCTGAAAGAGGTTATGAACATTTTCAAAAAGTGAGTACCTCATTCTGAGTGTCCCCCCACCTCACAGTCTGTCTTGTCTGAATTGTTTCCAGCTTTCTAGCACAAAATAAAATTCTAGCTGACCTATAATCTGAATTTCAGACAGATTTGGTTTTCTTTGGCAAAGGTGTAGGGTCAAAATTGGAGGGCCTTGCCTCAGTAGTAATTATGAAAGAGATTGGCATCTCTCCAAAGTAAGCTGAAATATATTACACTTTGTAATATAGCCCTCATACCTATGACTATGACCCTACCAAATTCACGGCCATGAAAAATGCATCACGGATCGTGAAATCTGGTCTCTCCCCCCCACCCCCCCGATGAAATCTGGTCTTTTGTGTGCTTTTACCCTATACTGCACAGATTCCATGGCGGAGACCAGTGTTTCTCAAATTGGGTGTCCTGACCCAAAAGGGAGTTGCAGGGAGGTCACAAGATTATTTTAGGGGGGTGTGGTATTGCCACCCTTAGATTTGGGCGGCTGGAGAGTGGCAGCTGTTGGCTGGGTACCCAGGTCTGAAAACAGCACCCTGCCAGCAGCAGTGCAGAAGGAAGAATCATAGAATCATAGAATATCAGGGTTGGAAGGGACCCCTGAAGGTCATCTAGTCCAACCCCCTGCTCGAAGCAGGACCAATTCCCAGTTAAATCATCCCAGCCAGGGCTTTGAGTGGCAGTACTCTTATGCAGTACTCCATATAACAGTATGCCACCTTTACTTCTGTGCTGCTGCCTTCAGAGCTGGGTGGCCCAAGTGTGGCAGCTGCTGACTGAGAGCCCAGCTCTTCAGGCAGCAGTGCAGAAGTAAGGTTGGCAGTACCATACCATGCCATCCTTACTTCTCCGCTGCTGCTTGCTGTGGCTCTGCCTTCAAAGCTGAGATCCCGGCCAGCAGCCACCGCTTTCCAGCTACCTATGGCCAACCATTAAAACAGCCACATATGTTATGCCAGTTTCTCCAAATGACAGGACAAACAAATCTTAACCTACATTTCTGACATCCCTTTCTATAACCAGCAACTTTGATGTGTGAAAGAGTATCATTGTTCCCTGCCCTTCTTTTATATATTTTTTTGTTCTCAGCCCCCATTAGCTCAGAGCAGTGAGGGTTTATATTTTATTTTATTTTATTTTTATTTATTTATTTCATTTTGTTTTAAATTGGAAGCTTGTTTCTGAAACTGAGTCTTATGGGCTTTCATACACTGCTCTTCTGACCCAGTTAGTGTGCCAGCAGAATGTATGTATTTTCTTATGTAAAGTACTATATACTTCCATTTTAAATGCAAATATTTATTAATTACTATAGCTTGAAAAAAAAGTCATGCTTTTAATACTAGGAATATTCTTTCCAAGTATTTTATCACATATATTAATATTTTTTTAAAAAAATACCTCATAGATTTAGATCACTAAACTACTTACACATTTTCTGTTTTGGAAAACAAGCATAATATCCTTGGTTAATCTGGGTGTTTTAAAGAACACTGTCAACATTTGTTTATTAATTGGATTTTTTAAAAGATCACTTTAAATAGCATGCCTCTCGTTTTTCTTTTAAAAAAGTTACTATTTTTTCTGCCCCATCTATGTTCAGAAGAGTGCTTTTTGCGATGTCTGAAAGCCAGTCCAAACTTGTTCTTCCCCACTTCTCACCCTAACTCCCTTTCTGACTGTGTACGCAGGTACCAGCTGTTTGCTGTTTATACAGTTTCAGCTCTGCTGTTTCATGGTCTGGGGAACAGGATGCACCATCAACAAAACAGTGACAATAACTTTTCAGAAAGAGCTGTTAGTTGCACCAAGTAAACAAACATTTTCTCTGTAATCAGTCTGAGTTATTATGATTTTAAGAGTTATTTGTAACAATAGTAGATACAACATTTTCATGAAGTCTCAACTACCCAGAACATTTTTGTAGGTAATTCACATGTAATCATACACTGCCTCTCAAAAGCAGGATTTCCTTGTAAACAGAATAGCTTGAAATGGCTCTCTTTGTTAACTGTACAATTCCAAATGAATTTGCTCAAACTCAGAGACTCTAGTTCTACCTACTTTCTCAATTTGAACCAGTTACTCAAGGCCATATTTGATTTTTTGTCTTTTTAAACTTCGGTCATATTTTATTTTTGGAGTTACAGACCAAATGCATATCCGCTGACATAGGACATTTATGTGTTTGGGGTGGGTTTAGAGAGAATTTGGCAGCAATGTCTGTGAGAAACTGCAGAAAGATGAACAGTTTGGATTCATTTTTTGAGAACAGACTTGTACTTTGCTGGCATCCTGAAATTGGTCCACATGTATGTAAGTTTTGCTGTTGCTTTTGTTGTTTTATGTCTATTAGTTCATGAAAATAATAGGAGATATGTGCACAATGAAAATAAAAATAAACAAGGAAAGAATATTCTAGTTCTTTATCATTTCTGAGAGGAAACAGCTCACTCCATAAGTCCAAGACTCTATCTGACCACTTGGAAGACAGATTTTAGCCATCTATTCAAATGGAATTGCAATATGTTTACAGTGTTAACTTAGAAGATGAGTCACAAGTTATCAAATTTCTAAACTTCCTTTGTATCATTACATAAGTTTTTTTCATATTTTTATTAGATATACGGGATGATTCCAAACATTTTATCTGCATGATTGCCAAAAAGAAGGGGGTAGATGTAGGTAGTTCCCAAGATTTGCCCCATAATATTTAAGAGCCCCAAATGTGGTTGAAATAATTATTTTTAAAAAGCTGTACTGGCATTAAAGAAATAACAATAGTACAAATATGAAGGTATCCCATTGGAAAGCATACTGTTAGTATATTATTTTATTACAAGTTGTCAAGGTTCCTTCCCCACTCTGAACTCTAGGGTACAGATATGGGGACCTGCATGAAAAACCTGCTAAGCTTATTTTTACCAGCTTAAGTTAAAACTTCCCCAAGGTACAAAATATTTTACCTTTTGCCCCTGGACTTTATTGCTGCCACCGCAAAGTGTCTAACAAATATATAACAGGGAAAGAGCCCACTTGGAAATGTCTTTCCCTCACAAAAATCCTCCGAAACCCTACACCCCCTTTCCTGGGGAAGGCTTGATAAAAATCCTCACCAATTTGCATAGGTGAAAACAGACCCAAACTCTTGGATCTTAAGAACAATGAAAAAACAATCAGGTTCTTAAAAGAAGAATTTTAATTGAAGAAAAAAAGTAAAAGAATCGTCTCGATAAAATCAGGATGGTAAATACCTCATAGGGTAATCAGATTCAAAACATAGAGAATCCCTCTAGGCAAAACCTTAAGTTACAAAAAGACACAAAAACAGAAATATACATTCCATTCAGCACAACTTATTTTGTCAGCTATTTAAACAAAACAGAATCTAATGCATATCAAACTAGATTGCTTATTAGCCCTTTACAGGAGTTCTGACCTGCATTCCTGCTCTGGTCCTGGCAAAAGCAACACACAGACAGAGAGAACCCTTTGTTTCTCCCCCACCCTCCAGCTTTGAAAGTATCTTGTCTCCTCATTGGTCATTTTGGTCAGGTGGCAGCGAGGTTATCCTAGTTTCTTAACCCTTTGCAGGTGAAAGGGTTTTTTCTCTGGCCAGGAGGGATTTAAAGGTGTTTACCCTTCCCTTTATATTTATGACACAAGTATTGTGGCAGTAAAAGCAGTGGCCCAAATCAGGGTCATGAACCTGTTGTGATATTAGTTGTAAATATACAGTAGTATAAGACAGTCCCTGTTTTCAAGATAATTGTATCTACTCTGATTTTCATTACTTGAGGATGTAGCCCATTATACATTTATTTTTTTTCAATGGAGAAGATGGGGAAAATATGTAGTTGGAGATGGGGATGTGTTTAAATACTATTATCTTAATCCTGGAGTGGGTATTAATATAATAGTATTAAAATTGTGAAGAAGTAATGTCTGTAGGTCCTCATGTGGATGACTGAGCAAAAATGTGATAGGTTTCAGAGTAACAGCCGTGTTAGTCTGTATTCACAAAAAGAAAAGGAGTACTTGTGGCACCTTAGAGACTAACCAATTTATTTGAGCATGAGCTTTCGTGAGCTACAGCTCACTTCATCAGATGCATACCGTGGAAACAAAAATGTGATGTTCATTTTGAGCAGAACGTTTTTCATTGAATTATTCCCTAATCAAGGTGATAGCTTTTACTAATTATATTTTTTTCTGTCTGTATTTTTTTTCCAGGAAATGACACAATTTACTGGACTGATATGGGTTTCAACAAAATTAGCAGAGCTAGACGAGACCAGACCTGGAAAGAAGACATCATTTCAAATGGCTTGGGAAGGGTTGAAGGCATAGCAGTGGATTGGATCGCAGGTAACACCACCTGCCTTTATTATTTCTTAAATACCTTTTAGATAGGCCTTTTTATGCTGAAAAAGACTCTACTTGATAATAGTAGACTTCTGTACTTCTAGCCACAGAGGTGCATATTTTTTTTTTTCTTTCAGCTTCACTCTCTCTAATATTCAAAGCCTCTGGATATGTTTTTTTTTCATATTGACGATCACCCACTGTGAACTTAGCAAAAAATATCCCAAGAATTCCATAAGGCGGAAAAAATGGTTTTAGACGTTCTCTTATGCTTGAAGACAGTTGGAAAATTAAAATGCCCCCTGTTTCTTAGGTGTGGAGTTTCAACTTTGTTTTGATACATGCAGATTTGGTTTAGACCTCAAGATAGAAATATTTGAAAGTAGGATTAAAAATTACAAATTTCACTTCAGTTTATGTTCCTAATAACTAGGCTTAATGAGAGAGTAATAAAACCTACAGATGTATTAAAACAAACAGAGAACATTATTTTCTGCTACTATGTTTTATGCAGCTGATATCGAACAGCAACTGGTCTTTTAAAGAAGTTGTTTATTTTCTTAGTAATTTCTTGGTATTTCTCCTAGGTAACATATATTGGACAGATCATGGCTTCAACTTAATTGAAGTTGCTAGACTCAATGGCTCATTCCGATACGTAATTATATCCCAAGGTCTGGACCAGCCAAGATCTATAGCAGTGCACCCAGAAAAAGGGTAACTTAAATATTTCTATATCTTTTTAAAAAAATGCATGCTAATATTAAAAATCTACAATTAGTAAATCAGGGCATTCATTCTGACATCTGTTTACTGCTAGAGTCTTCAATAAAACCAGACAAAGATTGTACTGTAAAAAACAGTTTTTGTACAAGTTGGATGTTCTCATATACTGAGATACTTACTATGACATCTCTGTTTAAACTAAATATTACAGTCTACTTACCTATTTTCAGAACAGTTTCCCTACTGTTAGACAGTCTTTTCACTTGAAGAGGTACCTAGCAAGAGATCAGAAGTGTGCTTAATTTTTTTGAATCATCTTAAGTTTTCAGCACATTGTCAGAAGACAAACCATCCAACTATAATAAGCCCAATATGGTGATGAACTCTTAGAATGATGTAATCCTTCGATGGCCATAAATATCAATGTTTTGGCCCCAATATAACATCCTCTCCGCACCAACCAAGAAGATCACAAGTGTTCATGGACAAACTATGTCTGATAAAGTGCTTAGGTACAAGAATAGAATGGTGGTGGCACAAAACATTCTTCAGATCCATCCACCAATTACAAAGTGCTGTGGACTATGCTGATGCAATAACAGATCCCCTTACCATCACAGCTGCACAGCTGTTGCCAGCAGAGGTGTTCTGGATTGTGTAACTGAAACATCAGACAGAAGCATTGACCACTACAAAGAATTCTCATCCTACTTTGAAGAAAATATCAACTATGAAAAGCACTTCCCAAGACAAAATATTCTAAATAACAAGAGATTGCATTAACTACATGAAAGAATTTGGCTTCATTACACATGGTGAAGCCCAGAGACATAGCTGAGTGACCATATATAAACAGAGCCTGTGCCCTTCCTGAGAACAACTGTGTCTATTGCTAATGGGCACAACTGTGGAGAACAACAGTGTCTACTGCTTATGCATTATCAATGACTCTTTCAGAAAATTGAACTTGCCAACCTCCTGGAAAACACAAAAGTCCTGTAGAAAGTCATATATACGTCTATATATCTCATTTTCCACAGATTCAACCAACTCCATCATAAGGAGATCACACAACCTATAGGAAATCAGCTTTTACATTCAGTCAGGGGAGTTCTTCAAAGTGGTGTGATGCCTAGAGTGGTTCTTCCAACTCACTATAAGCCTCAACATTCTATCAGTGATAGAAAACGACTTCTGAAACTTTTTCCTTTTTCTCCTGGATAAGGTTCTAGTAACAGTGATATATGTATTATTCAGCTTGGATAATTATAATTCATTGTGTCTTGGGTTGAAGGTGGAAACAGCCAGAGGTTTCAGTTAGTGCAGAATCTCAAAGCCTGCCTCCTCAAAATGATACAACTCCTGTGTTCAGATAACTCCACTGATGGCCTGTTGTCATAGATATAAAGGGAAGGGTAAACACATTTAAATCCCTCCTGGCCAGAGGAAAAACCCTTTCACCTGTAAAGGGTTAAGAAGCTAAGATAACCTCACTGGCACCTGACCAAAATGACCAATGAGGAGACAAGATACTTTCAAAGCTGGGGGGGAGGGAGAGGGAGAAACAAAGGGTCCTGTCTGTCTGTCTGTGTGATGCTTTTGCCAGGACCAGAGCAGGAATGCAGGGCAGAACTCCTGTAAAGAGTTAGGAAGCAATCTAGTTAGATATGCGTTAGATTCTGTTTTGTTTAAATGTCTGGTAAAATAAGTTGTGCTGAATGGAATGTATATTCCTGTTTTTGTGTCTTTTTGTAACTTAACGTTTTTCCTAGAGGGATTCTCTGTGTTTTGAATCTGATTACCCTGTAAGGTATTTACCATCCTGATTTTACAGAGGTGATTCTTTTACTTTTTCTTCAATTAAAATTCTTCTTTTAAGAACCTGATTGCTTTTTCATTGTTCTTAAGATTCAAGGGTTTGGGTCTGTGTTTACCTATGCAAATTGGTGAGGATTTTTCTCAAGCCTTCCCCAGGAAAGGGGGTGTAGGGTTTGGGGGGATATTTTTGTGCGGAGACGTTTCCAAGTGGGCACTTACCCTGTTCTTTGTGTAACACTTTGGTGGTGGCAGCTTTTAACCTAAGCTGGTAAGAATAAGCTTAGGGGGTCTGTCATGCAGGTCCCCACATCTGTACCCTAGAGTTCAGAGTGGGGAAGGAACCTTGACATGGTGGCAGAGCGGTGGGATTACTTTGAAATCATTTTGAGGTTTGTTTGTTTTTTTGAATCAGAAGCACAGAAGGATTTTAAAAGATTTTAAAGTGTTTTGTAAAAGGGGACAAAGCAAAAGCATAACAAAAGGGAGTTTGCTTTTGTGAGCTGGAGTTTCTCTTCCTAAAGGCAGGGTAGTTAACCTCCTGCAGGGAAATTCACAAGTTCTTCACAGACCTGAAGAGGGTTTTTTTTTTGTTTGTTTTTAGCTAAGAGCAACTAGAGGGTTTTTTCTGTCTATTTGTCTGGAGACAAAGGTATTAGGTTTTTTTCAAAAGGATTTTTCTGTAGGCTGACAATCACTATCAGAGAACATAGGTATCAAGTTACAGTACAACCTATTTTTTTGACAAGCCAAGTTTTTGTTTGTTTGTTTGTTGGTTTTATTTCTAACTCTCGGGTGTAAAGTTAGTTAAAAACAGAGAGGCAAACATGACAGAAACCAAGGAAACAGCCCAAGAGGCTGCCCACAGGAGAGCTATGGAGGCAAAGGAAAAAGAAATGGAGGAAAAGGGAAAAGCCCAAGAGGCTGCCCACAGGAGAGCTATGGAGGCAAAGGAAAAAGAATGGAAGCATGCTGAGGAGGAAAGGGAGGCTGCCCAGAGGAGAGCTATGGAGGCAAGGGAAAAAGAAATGGAGGAAAAGGAAAAAGAGAAGAAGCGTGCAGAGGAGGAGAGGAAGCATGTTGAGGTGGAGAAGGAAAAAGAAAGGAAGCATGCACTGTAGCTGGAGAAGGCAAAGGCTGAGCGGAATCTACTGGATAACCCTAATCATCCTTCCCCAACAATCCACAAATGGGAGCGACTATGTCCACAGTATGATGAATCCAGTGATATTGCTGAATATTTTCTCACCTTTGAGAGACTGTGCGCTCTCCATAAAATTCCTGAAGCTCACAAGATGACCGCATTGGTCGCAAAATTGACTGGAAGAGCTCTGTACATATTCAATAAGATGCCTATTGATGAGGATTCTGACTATAATAAGTTCAAGGATTTGGTTTTAAAGCAATTTCAAAATACATCTGAAACATACAGAGTAAAATTTCGAACCCTTAAGTGAGGGCCTGGACTAAGTAATGTGGCTTATCTAAACCAGATGAAGGATTTGTTAGATAAATGGGTTCAAGGAAGGGGTGTCACTAACTTTGACGGAATGTGTGATTTGATAGCTCAGGAGCAATTCCTGAATATATCCAAGGAGAAAATAAAACAGTGTTTATGGGATAAGGAAATGGACTCAGCAGAAAGTCTCGCTTCTTATGCTGATCCATATGAGCAGTCCCAGACCGCCAGAGAGGCGGGGCAAGCCGGACCAAAACGGGTGGAGGGAGGAGAGAGGAACAACCCTGGTCGCAGTTGGAGCGGATACCAGAAGGGACACCCTCATACTACACCCTACTACCGGGGGCAGCCCAAGGCCCCAACTACACACCAAGGAATACTGCAGACACCTTATTATCCTGCCACACCATTCTCCAGCAACCCACCTCGCCCCAGTGACCCGTCAGCTGGACAATGTTTGAAATGTAACAAGCCAGGGCATGTAAAGGCCAACTCCCCCAAGAACCCCAACAGATTACAGTTCATTGCACCGGAATCACACCAGAGGTCCTCAGGCCCAGATACCTCCCAGATACCCTCAGAGCGGAGGGAAACTGTGAGTGTGGGCAGGAAGAAGGTCACCGTATGGAGGGACACCAGAGCACAAGTGTCAGCTATCCATGCTTTCTTAGTGGACCCCAATTTAATTGATCCAGAGATCCAAGTGACAATTCAACCCTTCAAGTCCAACTCTTTCAATATGCCTACAGCCAAGATGCCTGTCTAGTTCAAGGGCTGGTCAGAAACATGGACTTTTGCAGTCTATGATAATTATCCCATCCCCATGCTGCTGGGGGAAGACTTGGCCAATCATGTGAAGCTAGCCAAGAGGGTGGGAATGGTCAACCGCAGCCAGGCTAAGCAAGCTGTCATGCCTAACTCTGTTCCAGAAACTTCTACCAGGACCCGATCAGAGGTGATGGAACCGGACCCCATGGCAACGTCAGCGACAGCATTAGTGAATCCAGTCCCAGAGACCCAGACAGAGCCAGCCCCAGAACCGGAACCGGTGGAACAACCAGCACCTGAACCATTGCCAGCATTGAATCCAGTCCTTGCAACCCCAACACCGGAGGGCCCCACCGAACCTGAACCGGCAGCAGCCAATAACCCTACACAAGAGGCTCAGCCAGAGCCTGAACCCCAACATAGTGCACCAGCGGAGAGCGGTTCACAGTCAACGGAAACAGCCCCATCCCCTACATTGCTTCCAGAGGGACCAAGCCTAGGTCTACAATTCAATGAGGAACTTATGTCTCCAGCATCAAGGGAACAGTTCCAGACCGAACAGGAAGCAGATGAAAGCCTCCAGAGAGCTCGGACGGCGGCACGGAGCAACCCACCGCCTCTCAGCTCTTCTAATCGGTCCAGGTTTGTTGTAGAAAGAGGACTTTTATACAAGAAAACTCTTTCTGGTGGACACCAGGAAGGCTGGCATCCTCAGAGACAGTTGGTAGTTCCAACTAAATACCGGGTAAAGCTCTTGAGCTTAGCCCATGATCATCCTAGTGGCCATGCTGGGGTGAACAGGACCAAAGACCATTTGTGGAGGTCATTCCACTAGGAGGGAAGGGGTAAGGATGTTTCTACCTATGTCCGGTCTTGTGAGGTATGCCAAAGAGTGGGAAAACCCCAAGACCAGGTCAAAGTCCCTCTCCATCATTGAGGTTCCATTTCA